CCAGGAGTAACTGCCTGTAGAAACCGTTCCTTTATCTGCAGCTATTAAAACACTGGCCAGCAAGGTGGCACAATGTACTGCTAATGGGTTATAGGGCTGTAGACACCGTTGTTTCGTTCGACAGATGAGAAGTGGCTGGAAATGACCTTCTGTCTCCGGGTAAGAGCGGAGCTTGTTAAGTGACATTCCCTTGTGCAGCGGTTCTGAGGTAATGTAGGCATTTGTGCTATATTTAGCACAGCCTTAAATGAGTTTTCAGGCTTTTCTTGCTATAAATAGAGGGATAGGTGTATTTGCTAGTCTCCATCTTGAGAGCCACTTTCTGACCTAGGCCGTGGCTGGGAAGGTGGAAAGAGATGCACAAGGCCAGTGCTGGCAAGAAATCCAGAACTGAGTATAGCCATCCACGCCAGTGTCAGGATCCTGAGGTCTTGCCTGCCAGGGGGTCCTGTCTCCTTCCTGGGCAGTGTGGCTCCCATTCTGTCCAGTGTGAGGTTAGCTAAGGGCCCAAGTGCACCGCACTATAGCCCAACTTCTTCCCTCTCATGATCTTCCCATCTGGCATGGACCATTGCATTCAATTCACTAGTGAACCACTGGGCCCATGTGCACACTTAGCACACTCAGACTTAGCACACTCAAAGCTGCCTGAAGAGTCTGAGGAAATACCAAGTGAGCCTCGCTCCAGAGACCCAGTAGCTCTGGGGAGAGCAAAACTCTGCATCCCTCCCATAGACTGGGATAAATGGGACTGCTGGTCCATTTGAACACACGCAAACTACCCTCCTAGAGATAGCCTTTTAGTCATTTACCTGCAGCATTTATTAAGCAACTACTGAATGCAGAGGAAGAAGTCCCTGAAACGACTAGACATTTCTGCACACAAGAGAGTATTTGTGAAGAAAAGTACTGCTAGAAGGCACATAGATTATAGCCAAGACTCAGAGGGCAGGATCTGGGACAACTGAGGTGCAGCTATGCAAACTGGGCAGTTCAGAAATAACTACTAAGGTTTATCATGGAGCTGGTCAATCAGCATTGCTCCTGGCGTTTGCCTTGCTGACTCATTATAATATCATCATAACCAGAAGAACTATATAGTTTCCTTTTCTTATAAAAAGCTACTAAACCAACACCTGACAAGAAGCAGCTTCAGGGAGGAGCAGGTTCATCGAGGTGGGGACGCTATGCTGGCTCACAGTATGAGGGGTCACAGTCCGTCGAGGTGGGGGCGTAGTGACAGCAGGAGCTTGAAGCATCGGTGTTGAGTCTGCAGTGAGAAAGCAGAGCGTGAGCAGCAAGCAGGGCCAGGCTATAAAAACCTCAAGGTGCCACTTACTCAACTTTTCCAGCAAGGATCCAGCTCCTCAGCGCTCCACAATCTGCCCAAATGGAAGTGTCCAAACACATGAGTCTATGGGAAACATAATACATGTAAATCACAGGAGGTCCTGGAAAGGTTTGACTTTTCCTTGGAGCCCAGAATATTCTCTGTACTGTGTTGCCTCCCAGGACTGGATACAGCATACCCAAATACTCAGTGTTCATTTGTTGAATTAAACTATTGCAAGATTAGATTCTTGAGGGACCTTTGCCAGCTCCATAGGCTGTGACAACTCTGCTCTTAACTGTGGTTCCATGTTGATGGCTTAGCAAGATCTGGATCCTCCAGTAGGTACTCACAGACATTAGCCTATTTATTAAAATTAAAACTAAGCCAGAGATGTGATATATACTCATCATTGCAACACTCAAGAGACTGAGGCAGGGGGATTATGAGTTCTAGGATACTTTAATTTATATAGTGGATTTCAGGCCACCCTGGGTCATTAGTGAGACCCTCCCTCAAAACTCAACACCAAAACAAGAAAAACTTCTCTAAGGTTATTAGGAACTCTATAACATATGAAGACATATCAAGAGAGTGGGGGATCGATCGCCCTAGGTCTGCAGTAGAGCTGGGATTCTGAAGAGGGTGGGTGGTTGCCCAGGGCCTGCAGAGGACCCAGGCTTCTGAACTGAGCTTTTTGTCTCAAGGTAGAGTCTCTGCTCTCCTGGTGACCCCCTCTTGGTGGGATGGGCCTGCTGCCAGGCAGTGGGCAGTTACTCCACTCTCTCCTCACTACTCCTTTGTGCCCAGACCCTGAAGTTTATACATAGGAACATATTTCCATCCCTTCTCCACAACTGTCACAGTAGAAGGAACAGAAGCGATGGTAATGGCAAAGACAGAAAACAGTGTTAATATAAATAGATGTTGTAATGATTTGAAGAGAACCCTCCACACAAACACATCCTCATAGTCTCAGACATTTCAGTACTCAGTCTCCTGTCAGTGGAACTGCTTTGGAGGTGTGGCCTTATTAGGCGATGACTGTCACCAGAGGTGGGCTTTGGGAGTTTAAAGACCTTTACAGCTGCTTCTCATAAGCCTTCAGCTTGCTGCCCCAGCCGCTGTGCATGCTGTCCTGCCTCGCTGTGCTAGTTTGGACTCTCATCCCACCTGAACCATAAGCCCAAATCAACCCTTCCTTCTATAAGCTATGGTCATGGTGTTTGATCACAGCAATAGAAAGGTAGCTAATATGGAAGAATTACTGTTCTGTGGATCAAGTATATTAGTGAAGGAGCGAGCCTGGCTCCCAGGACTCACTCTCTATCCCCACTTCTGTGTTCATACTTACTCTTCAGCCCTTCTGTATACAGATGTTTCTTCTTCCGGATGAGAAAGATGGAGGTTTCATTATAGGAAGAAACCATAGAACAGGAGTTTTCTTTTGGGGGAAAGAAGTTAAGGAAAATATTCAATAATATGGTCCTAATGGGTGTTTCCTCTTGGTCCCAAATATTCTTGGGGCAGTAGAGTAGCTAGATCCAGGGTTGGGGAGGAGAGGAAAAAAAGGAGGAGGAAGAGGAAGAAGAGGAGGAAGAGGAAATGGGGTAGATTTTATAAATGTTCCTAAGCAGATAAGGAGACCTTTCCTCTGTGCTGTTTAGACTTACTCCAGAGAAGGATACAGGTGACTAGTCCAAGCAGCCTGGGGTCGTAAAGTGGCATCTGTGTCCCCACACTTTGATGACATGTTCTGAAAGGAAACAGAGAACTAGAATAACACACAGAATGCCTTAGAGCATCTCAGGTACTTAATCCAAAACTGTGTTCCCCAACACTGACTCCAGCCAGGTGATCAGCAGTGAGCTCCTCCCATCTGGGCAGAATTCAGTTTAGTTTTCTCTGCCTAGCTCTGTTCTACCCCATAGGCCAAGACAGTTTCTTTATTAACCAATGGTGTTCACAGCATTCAGAGGGGAATCCCACATCAGGAGTGGGACTTCACACATCAGTTAACTTAATTAAGATAACCCCTTATAGGCATACTCATAGTGACCTGATGTAGGCAGTGCCCCATAGAGAATTCTTCTTGTGTGATTCTAGGCTGTGTCAAGTGGACAGTAAAGCCAGCATCACAGATGGTAATATAATAGAGCTTGATAAAAGAGGGGAGGGCACAGTATGGAGGCACTGCACCGGGCCCTCGTGTGCTATAGGGATGTAAAAATGCAGTCACTTTAAAGATTATTATTACATTGCTGTAGTATTGCTGTGTTATAGTCGTCATCGTCATTTTAATTATTTTGAGACAAGATCTCACTATGTAGCCATGGTTGGCCTGGAACTCTCTATGCAAACCAGGTTGTCTTAGAACTCATTAGGATCCACCAACCTCTGCCTCCCAAGTGCTGGTATTAAAGGCACGTGCAACCACCCCTTGCTATTTATATTCTTTTAGTTAAGATATGCCCTGTGTGTCTGTGCGTGGATGTGTGCACATGTGCAGCAGCCCGTGGAGACCAGGAGAGGGCGCCTGATGCCCTGGAGGAGCTACAGGATGCTGTGAACCACCCTACAGAGATGCTGGGAATGGAACTCCGGCCCTCTGCAAGAGATGCACCCTCTTAACTGCTGACCCATCTCTCGAGAACCAGGAGGTGCCTGGGAGACAGCAGGGAGTTTGTCAGCTTGTCAAACACAGTCACATCTGACAGCAGTGCTGGTCCCAGGCACAAACCTGCAAGAATGAAGTGTGTGTTACTCCAATACCGACCCAATGCCCGCTAACCGATGAGTGGCAAGTGAAATGAGGCCTTTTCTCATGATTGATTACATTACAACAGAAAGGAAGGAAATGCCAATACTTGTTATGGTGTGAGGGAAGCTGTCTCATGAAATGTCTAGAACGGATGAGTTTGCAGGGGCAGGAAGTGACTGTGTGCTGGGAGAGCTGGGGAAAGGGTGGCAAGGGACTGACAATGGACATGGGCTTCCTTTTTTTCTTTTATTTTGCAAAAATGAAAACTTTCTAAACCTGATGGCTGCACAACTTGGAAAAAAAAGTTTTTGAAATAGAGAGTTTTACACTTTAGTGGACATAGTCTATGTGTCTTACGGTTGCTATGGATGTGATAAAAACACCATGACAAAAATCGACTTGGGGACAACGAGGTTTATTTCACTTGTAGTTGTCTTTTGTGGTCCTCGGCCACCCCCTACCGTTTAGTTATCTGTGGTGGATGGGTATCAGGGTCTGCTCCTCCTACCATGTAGTCCTATAAGGACCAGGGCTGTGTCTTGCCATTCGGTGCCCTGGGTACCAACAGAATTTGACAGGCTGTTGCTCATAGTTTGACTTTGGACTGGTGTGAGGACATAGACACACACTTGACCGATGGCCTCAGGCATGGCTCAGAGTGACTTCTGCCCTATGGGTGTCTGAGGCTCCAGCCACACCAGGTCTCATCTCCATGAGCCCTGCCTAGCACACCATCAGACCTGGTTGTCTGCTGTTCCAAACTCTTTGGCTTGAGACGGGAGGTTCTCCTGAGGTCTGGACCCTCTTCTGAGGCGCACAGGCCTGGCCGCTGGCCTTCTCGGAAGGAGTGGCGCACTCTGGAGTTTGGCTCACGGACGGCTCACACGTTGTTCTTCTGTTCGTTTCCAGCTCTTCTGTATGCCACCATCTTTGGGAACGTGACAACCATTTTCCAACAGATGTACGCCAACACCAACAGGTATCATGAGATGCTCAACAGTGTCCGGGATTTCCTGAAGCTCTACCAGGTGCCCAAGGGGCTGAGCGAGCGGGTCATGGACTACATCGTGTCCACCTGGTCCATGTCCCGAGGCATTGACACAGAGAAGGTAAGGAGTGGGAGACTCTTAGCCACATCACCTGTCCCCAGCTTCCCCCAGCAGACGGGGCTCAGAACTCACCTGGGGCATCTGGGATTCTCAGGTCCTCCTTCCAGGGGTTTTGGTGGTCTCTCTATTGTCTTTACTGAAGGCTCAGAAAGTAAGAGCCATCATTTAAGAAATCAAAGGCACGGTGTATCTCCTGGAGCAAGGGGAGCAAATGTCCTGCTGTCTAGGGCAGCTTCCCAATGCTGGACCATGTTCAAACGAAGAGCCTGGGCAAGGGGAGCTGCTTCCTTTTGCTCAAGCTTCCCAGATGGCCCCATGCTTGCCAGTCTTGGCTTTTTTTTTTTAAATACTCATGTTTTTTGTTTGGCATGGCTTTTTAAAAATGAACTTTGATTTTCTTAAAGAACTGCCGCATCAGGTATGATGTATCTTGGCTATTTTTCCATCTTCCCCGATTGGCCTGTCCCAAGGCCACTGGTACACCTATCTCCACATCCTCTCAGTCCGGATAGATCCCCATGGTGTTGTGGACAGGGTCAGTAATTACCCTGGTAAAACTACCTCAGATGAGCCCAGGCAATACGGGCACAAGCCTGTGCCTTCGTCACCAGTTGGCAGCTGCTTTGCTGTGCAATCCAGAGCACAGCAAACATCCTGTGCACAGTTATTCTCTAAGAATTGTTATTCCAGATTTGTGTCAGTGAAGTGCAGGCATGTGTGTGGCTTCTGAGAGAGCAGAGAAAAGATACAGAGGGCTAATTTATTAGTTACCTTAGAGTTTCCCAGTGCCTTTGAGACATATCCTGTAGCCCAGGCTAGCCTGGAACTCTCTATGTAGCCAAGGATGAACTTGAACTTCTGATTTTCCTGTCCCCACTTCCAGTGTGCTGGAATAAAGGGTGAGCACCACCACACCCACATTCCCAAGGCCTTATGCTTGCTAGACCAGCCCTGAGCCGCCACGAGTCCCTGCTCTGTGTATGGCCCATGACCAAAGCCACATCCTCACTCAGTTTCTCCAGTCTTCAGCCTTTGATTCCATGTCGCTTGCTGCCAAACCCCATCTATCCACAGTAGAATTAGGAAAATGGTATCACTACAGCAAAAATAGTTATGGACACATTGGAATCCAGATTGATCTGGCTTTGTGGTCGGCCAGTTATATTCCTGTCCCCCTCTATCTGAACAGATGGTTGGGCACTGACAGGTTTTAAGGAATGCTCCGTTCTGCTGGTTGTGCACTTGAAAGGCTCGTTGCTGTGTGTCTGTCTGCTGTGTGTCTGTCTGCTGTGTGTCTATCTGCTGTGTGTCTGTCTCCTGTGTGCCATGATGAATACCTCTACAACCCCAATTGCCATTTCTTGAACACGCACTGAGAACAGACATGTTGCCAGGTGTGGTGGTGCGCACCTGTGAACTCAGACTTGGGAGGCAGAGGCAGGGCAGCCATGAGTCTGAGGCCAGTCTCGGCTACATGGCGAACATTTGTTAGGGAGAAATGGAAAGAACCAGTGTTGGTTTGCTTGACTGTTACCCCCGTGTCTTGAGTGGACTTCACTTCCCCTCTTGGGAAGGCGTGGTTGGAAGCTCTGTTGAATGAGGAGGAGGACCAGAGGCTCAGTTCATTCTTTTTACTTCCTCTGGTCTAGGGTAACTAGGATTTGAGCCCAGTTTTTATCTGGTTTCAAAGCTTATCCTTTTCCTCCTATTATCCCTCCCTCCTTTGATTTTTTTCGATTATATTTTACTGTGTACAAGTGATTGCCTGCATGTTTGTGTGCATGTGTATATGTGTGGGTACGGTGTCATGGCCTGTATTGCATGTTTGTCTTGGACTATCATGAGGTTTTGGGGGATTGGATTTAGGTCTTCAAGCTTGGTTGGTATGCCTTTAACAACAGCAAGCTGTCTTGCAGGATGTCAAGCACGCACTAGAGGGACTGAAGCTAAGGTTCAGTCCCCCATGGGCAGGGCCTGGGTTGGCTTTGCTTGGCTCCTGGCTTTGCCAGATCCCCACCCCACCTGCACCTATTGTCCCTGCTCATCACGGACAACAATGCCTGCTGGTTCTGTAGGTGCCTGGCAGCTGATGGAGCAGAAAGATCTTTGATCTCTGCCCCAAAGCCCATTTTTCCCAGGCACTAGAATGACTCTGTAGATCCTGCTGTCTGGGAAAAACCCTTCCTGGTCCCTGTCCCTGCAGGGCTGGGTAGGGGAGCTGCCTGGGACACTGCTCAATCAGCACCGCATTCCTGTCCTGCTCACCTGCTCACCTGCGCACCTCCTCAGAGGCTTTGGGGATCCACCCGAATTCCTGTTCCAGAGACCCAACGGTAGCATCCACAGTAGAGCCCAGCCTGGGAAAGGAGGCAGCAGCTGTTGAGGGGAGAGAACCATCAAGGAGTCCCGTCTTCCCTCCTCCCTCCAGTAACCAGCCCGTGACCTTGAGCACATCATGTGTCTCTCCTGCCCTAGTTCCCATGTCTGGAACACAGTGAAGATGGCCTTTAAGATCACATGGCCTCTCTGGCCTTCTGGACCATGGAAGCTCTGTAATGACATTACATAAGAACCCCACAACTAACTAGATACCAGATGTCTTAACACAGCAGCATGTGAAATCACACAAAAAAGGAAGACATGGCCACCAGAAGCATTGTTCAAGTTCACACATGCGGTGCATGCTGGGAGCAGGACCGAATTCTGAGCCTGAACCTTGACCCTTCAATGTCCCGGGAAGGCTACTCCATAGACATTACTCTCAAGAGTGAGATCTCAAAGCCTGGCAATTGAGGGGGCAGGCTGTGGGTTGAATGGCTGAACGAGGGCATGCTCAGAGGGAGGGCATACCTCTCTGCTTACTCTCTGGTAGAATGTAGTGAGCAGCATAGAGCCACACCTGATGGAGAAGTATAATCGACTCCTATGGCTAAAGTCTGACTTATGCTATGATAACGCAATGATTATCAGCTGCTTGCATATGCGTGGACCTATGGGCAATGCCCACCTGGCAATCCGGGATTGGCAGCCCATGCCTACTTAAGGGCTGGGAGAGGTTTGCCCGAGGAGAGAGGGGAAGAGAATGAGAGAGGGGAAGAGAGAGGAGAGAAGAGAGAGAGGAGAGAGGGGAAAGAGAGAGAGAAAGTGAATAAAGTCCTGGAATAAACTGCAGTGAGAAGAGCTCCGGTGGTCGCGTCATCCTTGCGGATCAAGGGTGGCCGTGACAGTAGAACTTGCCGACAGGAACAGCTATGGACTTGCTGCCCAGCCCAGTGTCTGCCATCCTCCTCTTCAGACAGCTCCCTGCCCTCCCCGCGATCATCCTCACGGTTCTGGAATCAGTGTCCTGGAAGTGATGTTACCTCCTATCCAAACCCTGACGCAGGAGCCTAACTCAGGGAAGAGGATGTAAATGTGAACTCACCTGGAGCACTGACCTTGGTCCTGCTACTGGGCACTGCTTGGACATGATGTGTGTCCACAGGCGTGGGATCCAGGCGGAGGAAACCTCTGATCAGCATTGTTGCAGCAGACAGGTGCAATGTCCCTGTCACTCAGCTTTGGAGTCAGGATTTTATCAGAGAAATAAGGCACAGAGTAGTTACATTACTACTAAGTAACTGGGGATCCGGTCACGTGACCTCTTCCCACTGCTCCACCTCCCTCTAGACAGAGTGAAGCCACCCAGGGTGAGAACTGATCCAGAGAGGCTGGTGAAGAAGCCCCAGATGCAGAGGCAAATGATCGGTGCTAAGACAAGAACAGGGTCTGGAAAGTCCGCCAGCTCCACAAGGAGTAGCCACTGAATGGTCACACTCGATTCACCTGCCCCTACCTGGTTCACAGAATAGAACAGGAAAAATATGTTTAAAAAATGCTGCCTATTTCTCTGGAAAAGACCACCGGGAGGTGTCCTATTGTGTTCCTTACTGCATGCTGTAGAAAGCCATGCAGTGGTTTCTTGTGAACACTTAGTCCACAGAGTTATGTCTTGCTCTGAAAAGCTGGGCAATTTTTCAATTGTTTAGAAAAAAATGAGATCCGCATGGCTTGTTGTTTCTAGTTTGTTTTTTAGATGGTGCAGGTCAGGGCTGGGGGCATAGCCCAGATGGTAAAGTGACTGTCTGGCTTGTGCAAATCTCTGGGTTTCCTCCTCGGTACCGTGGGGATGGGATGCTGCAAGTCAGATTGCAACCCATTAGCTTTGCAGAAGCGCCTGGCATAGGAGTTGGTTAGGCTCTATCTAGGCTCTGATGCCAAGCCACCTAGTGTGAAAGCCAAGATCTGCTGTCTCCTGGCTGGGAAACTTTGGGCTTCCCTGTTTCTCAGCTTCCTGTCATCTGAACTGACAGAATTAAAAGCACATCCTGGAGTTTCCGTGGGGACCACATGTTAGCAAACACACTTTCAAATGAAGTTACACCCCCCACCCCACCCCCTGTCCTCTGTCCTTTCTGTCTTCCTTACCGACCGAGGCGACTGATACCAAATTTTATTTTTTCTTGTCATTTTCTTCTTGTGTAGACAGTAAATCCCATGAGGGCAGGTATTTTTTGTCTTGTTCATTTTGTTTTCTAGGGACATGGTTTCTCTGTGTAGTCCTGGCTGTCTCAGAACTTACTCTGTAGACCAGGCTGGCCTGGAACTATCAGAGACCCTCCTGCCTCTGCCCCCGCTTCCCAGAGTACCGGGATTAAAGGCGTGTGCTACCACTGCTGGGTACTTGTTTTTCTTTTTCTTTTTTTTTTTTTTAAACTACCACATTATTAGAGCCTAGAATGGTGCTGGGGGACACACGGATGCTTGGCAAACAAATAGTAACTCTGTAAGTAACTTGCTGAGCCATGCCTGGCAGACAGCAAGCACTCAGGAAAATGTGACTTTGTGTATATCAATTTTTTGTAAAGTGTATTCATGTTTTGAAAATTAATACATGTGTATATTGTTTTTTTTAATCTCACCCACCCCTACTACCTACTCTAACTGTCCCTGGGGCCCACTTACCTGTGTCCCCAACAACTTCATGTGTATGGTTGTTATCATCATCACCATCACTGTTATCCCTCTGAGTCTAACCAGGAATTAACGGTGTGAGTCCATTCACTGGGGCATGGATGACTTACCACAGCCAAACTAGAGTGAGTCAGCCTTCCTCGCAGCTATCACGTGCCAAAGGCTGCTCAGCTAAGGGGGAGTCTCAGGAGCACCCCTCCATCTGTGCTGGAATTTCAGCTGGCTTGAACTTGGGCAGGTCTCATGTAATCCATTACAGGAGGCTGCTAGTTCATTACCCGACCGCCCAGCAGCTCAGACTTGAAATAACCACACAGACACCGTATTAATTAAATCCACTGCTTGGCCTGTTAGCTCTAGTTTCTTATTGGCTAGCTCTTACATATTAATTTTAACCCATCTCCATTAATCTGTGTATTGCCATGAGGCTGTGGCTTACCAGGTAAAGTTCCAGTGTCTGTCTCTGGCGGGGCTACATGGCTTCCCTCTGACTCTGCATTCCACTTCTTTTTCCCAGCATTCAGTTTAGTTTTCCCCACCTAGCTCTACTCTGCCCTATCAGGCCAAGCTAGTTTCCTTATTCATTAACCAATAAAAGTAATACATAGACAGAAGGACCTCCCATACCATATATATCACTCTATCAGCAAGTCACACCAGCTATGTGATCAGAGTACACACTGCCCTTTAATGTGACCCCCTTATGTTATAGAATGCTAGGCTATTTCTCCCACTTGAAATTTTGTACCTCTTAACCAATTTACTGTGTATTTCCTAATGGCCAGGAGAGAGTGTTTAGAATGTTCTCCACACAAAGAATTGATGAATATTTAAAGGATGGATACACTGATTACTTTGTTCATGTATTGTATGCATGTAAAATATCATGCTGTACCCCTGAGACATATATAGATTTGATTTGCTTGTTTGTAAATGTAATCTGAACATGACCCCTTCTTGCTGACTGCGTTGAACCAGCCCAGTCTGAGCACCCCTCACCTTTCCCTGTTGCCCCCCCCCCCAGGGTCAGAACTCTCTAATCCCTGTTTGGGACCCCAACTGACATCCGTCCCCTATCTGTGTCCCTGGTCACAGTCAGTGATGCAGAAGCATCTCACACGCTCAGTGTTTTCTCTCCACAATGTCTCTTAGCCCTGCCCCTGACTTGGGTGGACGGTTGCTCAGGTCAACAGAGCCTGTGTGTTTGCTATCCTCCAGGGTGCCGAGGGAAGGCGGCTGTGGAATGGCTCTCACACTGTCTCTTCCTTGTCTGGCCAGGTCCTGCAGATCTGCCCCAAGGACATGAGAGCTGACATTTGTGTGCACCTGAACCGCAAAGTGTTCAAGGAACACCCCGCCTTCCGACTGGCTAGCGATGGCTGCCTCCGGGCCCTGGCCATGGAGTTCCAGACTGTGCACTGCGCCCCAGGGGACCTCATCTATCATGCTGGGGAGAGTGTAGACAGCCTCTGCTTCGTGGTCTCCGGCTCCCTGGAGGTGATCCAGGATGACGAGGTGGTGGCGATCCTAGGTACGTGCTGCTCATTCTTATGTACTTCTGGCTCCATACTTGGGGTTGTCATAGTCGCTGGGTAGCCACGCTTAATCAGAGATTGCTCCCTAGGTAGGCTCATTTCTACCATCCATCCATCCATCCACCCAGCCGATGTTGGAGTGCCTGGTGCCTGCTTTGAACCAACTGATGTTTGAGACACTGGGTTTTTTTGTCCTCAAGAGGCTACAGGCTACTGAAAGAGATGAACAAACAAACAATCATTCAGAATGTGGCTTCCAGAATAGAGCATTCAGAATGAAGGGGCATCTCATGCGTGATTCAAGTGAGACTGCTTCCTAGATGAAATGGCAACAGAGAAGCTGAAGAGTTGAAAATGAGCCAGCACAGAACAGGGTAAAGGCCAGATTCCAAAGAGAGGGGGAAGCATGTGTGACAGAGGCAGGTGTGGTCCATGGGGTAAACTACAAGTCCCTTTGTGTGGCCCAGGCCCACGGAAGGGCCACAGTGGGAGAATGAAGTTGGGAGAGTAGATGGGCCAAAGGCTCCAGGAAACACATTAAAGATGTAGGGTTTTGTGGTTGTGTAGGGGGAGGGGCGCCATCATGTTTGTATGTTTGTCAAAGGACAGAAGATAGACTGTCCTTTGGACTGCAGGGCCAGGGAAAGCAGGTTGGAGCCATGTTATCTAGGGGCTTAAGGAACTAAGTTTTGGTTGGATAGAAAGAAGCACATTGTATCAAGGCAAAAAAGTAGAATTTAAAGAATCCAGGGACAGGTTTGCTGTTGGGATGGTAGGGTTTCCATGTGGATAACAGGGAGGCTGGGACCACACACAGCAAGTGTGAGAGGGAGAGCAGAGATCTGGGGAACAGATGGTATTTGAGAGGCTGATGTCAGTGGCCTTGGAGACATTTCCTGAGCAGCTACAGAAGAGCTCATCAATGGCATGTCTCTAAGGGCACAGCCATCACTAGCATGATCTCCATTTGTGGACATATGCTTGGCACCCAGGATAGTGCAGAGGGATCCACATTTAACCCTTACAGTAATCCTGCGAAATGCCTTTATTATTCCCAGTTTTTAGGTAAGACAGTTGGAGTTCAGAGAGGTTAAGGAAATGTCTTTATAGCAGTTGAGGTCCATGGAGTCTCATCCCAGCATCCTTCAGTCTTCAAACCTTTCTACTCCTGCCCGGCCTTGAACTGAAGTCCTAGTGACAGAGAATGGAATGTGCGGTCCCAGATGCTGCTGGTGCTGCTGCCATCTGCAGGTGCATGTTTTAGGTTCAATGCATGACTGATTTCTCAGAAACCTGAGAGGGGCGAGATGAAGTAACTTGAGGTTAGCATGAGATGATTGGCTTCGTAGAGATGGGTGATGTTTTTAAAACCCGATTTTGCAGTACCCGAAGCACGGTTCCTTCTTGTTCTTGGGGCACCTTGCGACCTCTTGGTTATATTGTGCTCAGGGCAATCCAAGGGTGATTTGTAATCCTTTAGCACGTGCTGGCAGATGGTTGGGGGAGATTTTTGATTCTGGGTTAGGGCTGATGTCTGTCTTTTCTGCTGGATACCTTGATGCCCATGGAGCTCAACAGCCTAACTCTGCTGTCCCCTGCTCCCTCATCTCAGAGACGTGAGGCTGTGAGCCAGACACAGAAGCACTGAAGATGTTATAGTGTATATGTAGGAAGGGGTTCATACCTCTTCCCCCAAGAGGGCACTGGGTTAGCCAGGATTCACCAGTGAGGGCCTTGGGTTAGCCAGAATTCACCAGTGAGGGCCTTGGGTTAGCCAGGATTCTTGCAGGACTAGGAGAAACTGCAAGCAGTCTTTTGAATTTGGATTTGAGGTTAACCCTTTGGGGTCAGGTGTCTTGCAGTTTCCCCACAGATCACTCACTATTTACTCTTCTAGGAAATCCATCTTGAGGCCCGGTAATATCCACCTATGTATTCAGATCAGAGATTTCTTTTATTATTATTCATTAAATTTATTCATTTATTTCCCTCCCTCCTTTCCTCCCATTCCCTCCTCCCACCTTCCCCCACCCCCACCTCATCCACTCCTCTTCTTTTTCTGTCAGGTCTCCCATGGGTGTCAAAAAAGCATGGCATATCAGGTTGAGATTGATCTAAGCTCCCCCTCCTTGTATTAAGGCTGGGCAAGGCAACCCAGTAATAGGAATAAGTTCCTGGAAGACAGCCAAAGCCTTAGGGACAGACCCTGTTTCTGCCACCAGCAACCCCACAAATAGATCAAGCTACACAATTGTCACACATATTTAGAAGACCTAGGTCAGTTCCATGCAGGCTCCCTAGCTGTCAGTTCAGAGTCTGTGAGCCCAGGTTGGTTGTTTCTGTGGGTTCCCTTGTGATGACCTTGACCCTGCCCCTGGCTCGTACAACCCTTCCTCCCTCTCTTCAGAAGGATTACCCAAGCTTGGCCCAGGGCGTGGCTGAGGGTCTCTCTGTTTCCGTCAGTCATTTGATGAAGCTCTCCGATGACAATTAAAATAGTCACCAATCTGATTACAAAAGATGGCCAGCTCAGGCTACGTATCCACTACTGCTAGGATTCTTAGCTGGGGTCATCCTTGTAGATTCGTGGGAGTTTCCTGGCATCAGGTTTCTACCTGACCCCAAAATACATGTCCCCATCGAGACATCATGGAAACATGAATGATTGAGTTGTGGGGGGTAGGGGAGGGGGAGAATAATGAACAGAGATTTTTTACGCCCTGCCACAGACACCTGCACACACCCACCTGCACACACCTGCACACATACAGACACCTGACACAGATGCTATAGACTCGGGCATGGAGGGATGGCAGCCTTGAAGAGAGATGAGGACAAGGGACCATTCCTCACCTCCCCCTCCCTGCTGATGCTGGCATCAAGAGGCAGCAGCCCCATAACCTGATTGGTTTGACTGGTTTACTGCTTCTCCGAATCTAGCCCTCTGGGCATCCTGCCCACTCCAGTTAGCAAAGTGGTTAGACCTCAAATATAGCTCAGCAGCTTTGGATTCAAAATGTTCGTTGTTCTTAAGACATCCAGGCTGGAGAAAGACTCCTCTATGCTTCACAAGAGCCAGATTGGGCCCCAAAAGTAGGTCCAGGCTCGATCTCCTACATAACTGCCAAGAGACTCTTATTCTATAAAAGGACATGACAAGTTCTTCGAGTCAACCTGTCCTTTGGGCCTCAAGACTTATGGCATTCCAAGCTGTTTGTTCCCTGGAAACACAATTGGACCTTTCTTAAAATTCCTTTCTCCTTAGAATAATCTCTGCTCAATGAACCACAATCATTTTCTTCTTACAAAGGGTTTGAGCATCAAACAGGACCGAGAACTAGACCTCCATTGTCCTCTGAAGTCCTTTAGTTTTTGTCTCACCCAGAAATGTTGAGCAGGCACCATCATGAATGGGGTGCCGTGGTAACTAAACCTTATCCCAGCCCTCCAGAGTTGCATGAGGAGCTACTGCCTAGACAGCTGCCACTCCGTCATGGTGAAGATGAATGCTTCTGAGGATTGTGGATGAGAAGCTATAGCACAGTGCCCTGGGTCTCTGGTCTCCTGCTGCCAGCGCATGCGTTTACAGCCTGCTGATATGGTCCCTCCCTTCAATTATTCTATCCCATCCCCATTCTCTGTTTAAAGTGAGTGCGGAATCCAAGAACAAGGAGAAGGGTCAGTGTTCTTAACTGAGCGGGCACAGCATGTGCCCAAAATAGCATCCCCGCTCACCAAAACCCTCTAGACATTTTGTGACGGCAGCCACAATATAAAATGCTAATTACATTGCTAACGGGTGAACACACAGTGATGTGTAAAACTCAGCGCTTGCCATGCGCTGGGAAACACAGCCTCTATTAGAGTTTTCTATGAGAGTCTGTGCTCTTTAACTTCAAACAGTTGAGCGTGGTAACCTAGTAAATGGTTTCTGAACATGACCAAAGGTTACAGTTTGAAAGTGTGGCCCCAGGATTCACGACAGTCTCTCTCTTATTGGAAGATGCTGTTCTTGAAGATGATGACCATACTAGGTAGGACTCTCTCATGATCCCTCCTCTACCTTAATTTTGCTGTGATGTCACCTCATTGCCTTCTGGAATTCTCTTAAAAGTCACTTAACAGGCTTCTCAAATTTATTCTCTTAGCTTTTCACATATAAGGCATTTTTTGCCTTATAATAATATTTATTTATCTTTAATTTCATTAAACCATTGCCCCTTCCTCTTCTCACCCCCACTTCTCCCATGTCAAGCCCCCCTATTCTTGGCCTTTAACCATTGTTGTTACGTGTGTATATTAACAAATAAACGTAGACTTACAACTTGCAGAGTTTGCACGAGCTTCGTGCATGTGTGTATTTCTAGGCCCACCACTTGGCATTTGATAGCCAATCAAGGGAGGGCTCATCCCTGGCAAAGACTAATTCTCCCTCTAGTAGTAGTTATCAATTGCTTGTAGCTCTTTAATTAAATTTTATGGGGAGAATGCATAAACTCTCCCCAACTTTCATCCCCTTTTATCCCCTCACCAACTTCATGTTCTCTCCCTCAGTCATTGCTGTTACATAGATGTATGCACACACATATGTTTACAACATAGATGTATGCACACTACCGAGTCCATTTGGCATTGGTGACCTACACACATTGTCCAGGGCTGACCAGCTGGAATTGGACAACCCACAGAATGTGCATCAGAGTTGTACATTTATTTCTTTATCTTGTGTGCAGTGGGCGGCACACAGAATTGATGCTCTCCTTCCACCGTGTGGCTCCCAGGGGTCTAGCCCAGACTTGGTAACAAGTCCCTTTGTCTACTAACCATCTCATTGACTCTCATCAGCGTTTTCCAATGACGTCTTTTTCAAAGTAGTTGGTTTTGCCTAGTGTTCTTGATGTCAGTTGTATTGCCGCTCTGTGACTGGCCAGCCTGAGGGGGCCCAGCCTAGCATCCCACAGGGCTCAAGCAAGCTGAATATTTCCCTGCATATCTG